ACTTGTGTCTCAAAAGGAGTGGGGCTTCAACTGTGCAGCCAGCATCTTGACTTGGTTGGGTCCCCCCCCTCCCAGGATCATCCTGTTGATGCAGAAATCAGAAGATGTTTAAGAACCTTGGAAGTTGCCTTAGGCAGATGACTAGATTGATACTACAATGGGTCCTGTTCTCACTAAGCTTTGGACTGAAGTTTTGTGTTATTCCATTCCTGCTAAGTAGTATGTGTGCATTAAATCAGACGGCCACGTGGACCAAGCTGTTCCAGTATGATGATCTCTCCACAGATAAGAGCCCTTTCCAAGGATTAGATCAGTGTTTCTCAACCTTGGCACCTTTAAGATGTGTGGACTTCAACTCCCAGAAATCAAGACTTTATTAACCAGAAGGCCAGAAGGAAAATAAATTCATCTGGAAGGAACTTAATCTTCAAGATGCATCGTCTTGTATTGTCTAAGGCAATGTTTCTCAACCTTGGCACCTTTAAGATATGTGGACTTCAACTCCCAGAAATCAAGACTTTATTAACCAGAAGGCCAGAAGGAAAATAAATTCATCTGGAAGGAACTTAATCTTCAAGATGCATCGTCTTGTATTGTCTAAGGCAATGTTTCTCAACCTTGGCACCTTTAAGATATGTGGACTTCAACTCCCAGAATTCCCCAGCCAGCATGGAGCATGGCTGGGGAATTCTGGGAGGTGAAGTCCACTCATCTTAAAGTGGCCAAGGTTGAGAAACACTGGATTAGATTGTAGCCTTTTGGTACTTCCAGGAGCCAAGCTTGGATCAGTGAGGACATTAAATGTCCATCCATCACCTCTGCACCAAGATGGCACAAAGGAGCTTTTAGCCCCTCTCTTTCCAAACCCAGTTGACCAGCACATGGTAGCTGAAGCCGGCAAGAACATCAACAGAGCCTTGGGGGGTACGTAGGTGAGAGAGTTACCTGGATCCTGGCCTAAGTATGAATAAAGGAGTTGGTTTTCTGTTGCCATCTTCAGCAACGCTTTTGTCTTCCCAGTCTCCAACTTTCCTGTTGGTTCCCCACCCAAAACCTAAACTGATCCTGCTTAGCTTTTGGAGATCAGCCAAGATTGGCGCTCTGGGCTGGGAATGAGGACATGGGTGTTGATTCTTGGACTGTGGCTCAAAGGAAAATAAGCAGCTGATGGATGGGTCCCACAGCAAAGGGAGTCCCAGCTGGATGAAACTCATAGCCAACCCTACTTGCGCCCATGTGAGGATTCAGAGAGGCACCCGTATCCGGGCTGCAAAGATCCAGATGACCACCAGAAATACTGAAAATGAGGACTCTTTGTTGACATCTTGGGGTTATCCGATTTTTTTTTTGCATCCCACGTAAGGTAGCCCTGGATAGAAGCTTCATTTAGCAGGTCCATGTATCAGCTTGATTGAATGCAAACATACTGATCAGGAATGCAATAATACAAAATTTCAGCCCAAAGCTTTGTGAGAATAGGACCTATTGTAGTATTTTCTTGAATGCGTGTATTAATCTAGTCCATTGTTTCTCAACTGTATCAACTTTAAGATGGGTGGACTTCAACTCCCAGAATTCCC